CCAGCGTTCCCACAGCAAGTTTGCCCATTTATGAATCCACCAATGGCCACGAATTCCCAGCGCATTCCTGCCCGAGCCTGGGGTCCTGTCCTCGGGGTTTGCAGACACCCTCAGCAAGTACCCGCGAAGGAGACTGGGGGAAGTCACGGGGCCGTTCTGCTTACAGCACACCGACGAGAGCACGAGGTCTGGACTGCCTGGCGCTACTTCCTCCCCGTCTTCCCCACGAACCACCGAGGCGACACCCCAGTGTCACTACCCTCACGCTCTTGCTGTTCAGACAAATCAGAACCAAAAAAAGTGTCCACAACAGCCAAGAGCTGAGGCCACATGTGAAATTTGGTGACACACATGACCAGCCACAAAGGTGTTCTCTCTGCGCCAGCTGACCCCTCGGCTCCACTAAAGGAAAAGTTAACCAGCGAGGCTGGAGTTGCTGTGGTGCTGATTTGCCGGGGAGATAAATGCTGTTAGCCTAGAACCTTCTACCTCGGCTCCAGATACTCTGCAAAACATTGTTTGGCAGATGCAAAAGGAACCTACGCTTAGTTAAAATCAAATAGGTCTTTATGCTGATGACGCCACAGGGCACCACAGCAAGGAAGCATCTGAGAGGAAAGAGCGTCTTGAAGCGCTTAGGGGAGCGGTACCCACACACACAGTCGCTTTCCACCAGCGTGTGCCTGGGCTCACAGTCCTCACAGCGGAGCCCCGTGGCCCCCGGCCTGCAGACGCACTGCCCGGACCCGCGGTCACAGTCGCTGTGAACAGAGCCGTGCGGGCTGCAGTCACACCTCTGGCAAGAACCACCTGGCATGTGCGGGTTCCCGTGGTAGCCTGTGGAGCACCTGCGGGGACAGTGGGATCAACACCGGTAAGTACACACACGAAGCAGTTTTCCCAAGGACAGAAGAGAACACAGGCCCGTTCACCTCCTTCTGCATCCTGTTTCCTAAAGGCCGAGACGGTCAGAGGAAGTGCGTTTACCTATCTTGATACCCAGGAGGCTGCTTTGCGGTATCGCTTGTGCACAGCGAAACTGATCCCGGCTCCCCAGCGCTTTTGTAAATGTGTCCTAACGCACAAAGGGGAGACATGCCCGGTGACTTCCATGTGCCAACACCCCGCATACCTTTCACAGTACTGTCCCTCGTAGCCCTGGAAACAGGCGTCACAGCGGAAATCATGATCACCTTCCAGGACACAAGTGGGACTAAAACTGGAAGAAGAGAATTTTTTAAATTTTCAGATATTCAACTTCTAATCTCTCAGGGTACTTATCCTTCCCTCATAGGGGACACGATGCTGTTCTAAAGGGTAAGTGATCACACTGGACGCCTGGACACGCTTTTCAGGGCCTAAACTCTGTCGGGCAAAAGGAAGGAAGATAAACGTTATCAGGACAAGGGGGTGCATCTCGTATCCTGAAGACCCACACTGGCGGCTGCCCAGTGACAACCCTGTGAGTGCTGGAGCCACGGAGACAGGTCTACTGAGCACAGCTAATTAGTCACCAAACAAGAAAGCGTCCCAGGAGAAGAAGGGCATGTTCTGAGATTTAACTCAGTCATCTGACTTATTAGAGAAGGTGGTTGGAGGGAGCTGCACGTGACTGTGAGCAAACACAGGAACAGCAGGCTGAGGCCACGAGATGGCTGGGGACACACCGACTGCAGTGAAAGGTGGGGGGCGGGGACAGCAGTGGGGAGAGAAGCAGAGGGTGAGGGTGGAATCTGAAATACGCAGACGTAAGGGTAGGGGGTCATGCGGTGGGCTGGAGCAGCAAGACGGCAGCCACTGAAAATGGAGCAGTGCACTCAGACGCTGGGCCCCTCGCTCGGGGGCTTTGGCTTTTGGCGCAGTCCTCTTTCAGTGACTTCTGCCTCCACATTCAAATCACCAACTAGAGGCTCAGCTGGGTGCCTGCAGGCCACTAAAAAATACCCACGGGGGTATCTGGCCAGTGACAGAAGTGCCCAGTGTGAGCTGCAGGGCTCTCCGCCAGCTCCACGTCACCTCTGACTTGCTCCTGCTTGAATACTAAAGGGACAGACTTCAGGGGAGACACAAAATGTCGAAAACAAAGCACATCAGTTAGGGCCTCTCAGATGCACAGCACACACACAAGGCTCCCACCCTCAGAGTCGCTTCCGGATAGTGTAACCTTTAATTTATCAGCATGGGCTGTGGGGGAGGTCTGGGCCTTCTGTGACCGAAGGAGGAAGACACACAGACACACCTCGTGCATGGTACAAGGGCGAGGTGTCTGTCCACACACCTCCCTGGGCGCATACAGCCTTGCAGCCACAGACACGGATGTGCACACGGGTACTAGTGTTTTCCAGAATGGCCTCACATCACATACTCACTCACGGAGTGTGACTGGCCGTCTCTCCCACTCCACACATCCCCTCTTCCCAGTGCCCTGCGGTGTTTCACTCAAGGGCGCACCGCAGTGCACTCCGGGTCGTCATTGCTCCCTGTAGGTAGACGTTGCAGTCCCCCCTCCCAGCTGCCTGTGAGAACAGGCGGGGCCCATCTTTACACACGTGCAAGTACTCCTACAGCTTAGATCACAGGAGCGCATTTGATGATTCAAAATTTATATACAGACTTGGTACAAAAAATTAAATAATAGTAATAAATTTTAGGATGCTGGAGAGCTCAGAGAGATGTTTTTCACACAGTGCCTCTCATTCGGTCCTCACCACCAAGCGACACTTACTTAGAGACAATAAAAGATAGAAGATTCAAACAAAAATCAAAAGGAAAACTCCATTTTAGTATACCAAAGGCTGGCGTTTGTCCTCCACACGTCCAGTGCCTTCTCAAATATTCTAAGCAACAATGAACTGTTACTTACGAATTGCAGTTTTCACTTAACCCAAAGGGGACCTACAGATACTTCAAATCCCGGGTTCTTTTTTGGGTGGAGACAGTTCTATACAAGGATTATGACTGTGAGGTAGACCCTGCCCACTCCACCCCTGGGCATGTTTCTGCACCTCGTCAGTCATCAGCATGTGTAATTCTAACCCCATTCCCTCACGGCAAACAGGAACCGAATTCTTTGTATCATTGTTCATAAAATTAGTAACAGTTCGTCTCTAGACACACTGGATACATACGGTGAAGACTAACATTACTCTTTAAAAAACCAAACCTGGAAGTCCTTTCATTTATTCCCTTCTAACACCCAAACCAACACATGGATATTTTGCTTTGGAAAAGACCCTTCCAATGCCGTGAGGGTGAACACTTTCTCAACACGGAGACTACTCACTAAGCGAGGCCCCAGGAGACCCTGGGAGACGAGGCGGACGGGGGGCGCAGCCCGGCCTCAGCGGCGCGGGCGGGGGCGCCGTGTACAGCTCACCTGGCAGGGAGGCCGTGAGGACAGGAGCAGGGAGAGCAGTCGCTGGCCCGGCCGGTCACCTGCCCGTAGTACCCGGGGGCACACTCCTCGCAGTGGTCGCCAGTGGTGTTATGGCTGCAGTTCTGAGGCCGCACGTGTCAAGAGGAGAGGAAAACAGCGGGAAACTGTTAGAGCCTCCGAACTGGCGATCGCGAAGCACTTCCACGTTTCCTGTCATTGACGTTTGTTTTATTCTCAATGAAGGGTGAGCATTTTTCTTATTTTTAAAATCCTGGAAACACTGCCAGCTCTGTGGCTGGCATTCATTATAAGACTATCCATCCAAAACAGCCCAGAAATCACTGATATGTCCTTCCCATAGAAGACACGCACAGGGCAGCCACCTTCAGAGCCTGAAAACATGGGTTTAAAAGGGACCCAACACCGACCTGGAGCACGGTGGGCTGCACAGTCAGTACTCAGTGATCCCAGGTGGGGAAAGAGCAGAAGTGAGTGGATGGATGGTTCAGGAAACTGACAGCGAGGGGAGGAAATGCAGGGGCTCAGAGCACCACCACGATTCCTGCGGTGACCACATCGTTTCCAGTTAGCTTTCACGTCATTGTTTGGACCTACCATCCTGCTATTTAAAGAAAAATAAGCTAAAAGAGCAACTAAGTCTTGACATATTATTCCAATGTAAAACCTGCTTCTGCTCAGTTGGACCACCATTCACACCGCCCCAGGCACCAAATTCTGGGTCTGACGCAGGGACACAGAGTCAGGTGACACCGGGGAACCACTGAGCAAACCTGCAAACCAACTCAGACGTTCGTCCTTGGGAGCAGGAGAGGATGCAGAGAGAAGCCTCGTTATGTGTTTGGAAACTTATTTTTAAGTTCCTTTTAAATTAAACAATATTCCAGTGTTTTTCGTTTGAAAATCGTACTCCCGTTTCACCTGACAAAAACAGATTTTACTAAGATCCTCTAGGCCCTAAAACTGGTATCTCTTTAGAAGTAAAATCTGCAACCTCTCTCAAAAGGTTACTGTGTTAAATACTTGTTTTAGTGAGTATAACCAGAGCCAACAAGGAATAAATATTTGATGATGAGAGAGGCCTGAAGCAGGTTTTCTGGTTTTCCATCCCTAATACCAACTCAAGCACTAACAACCCCCCTAACGCACAGCGGATGCGAGCTCCCTTGTCTTCAAGATCCTGCAGAATGGAAAAGAAACTTCCAGAGAACGGCAGGGCACTGAGACTCTGTTAACGTGACCTGGGGTGCGTCAGCTGCTGTGGGAAGCGCAGGAGAACGCCTGTCAGTTTGTTAATCGCAAAAGGAGCAAGTGCATCTCCTGGAAGCGGGCAGCTGGGCAGAGGAGCCCCCAGGGTAGCTGCCTGCTCCTCGTCCCACTCTCCTCCAGGCCACATTTCTGATCAGTCACTTTTATGCCAATACCAAAGGCCAGGGGACATGGAGAGGGAGGAGCACCCTAGGTGCCAGATGACAAAATCAGACCCAAAATGTCCTGACACCCAGGCTGTGCGGTAACAAGGACATGGGGAATGCTGAGAGTGGCAGACGGAAGCAACGGCGTCACTAAACACAGAGGGACCTGTTAGAGGAAGACCAGCGAGGAGAGCCAGAGTCCCAAGTTCGAAGAGCAAGGACACAGGTGCTAAACTGGTGAAACGCATGTGACCATCGTGGCATCTAGTCAGTCGGGTAGAGGCAGCAAAGCCACCAGCTGCATCCACAGAAACACAGCCCCCTGAGTTACGGAGGGCTGTCCCCACCCCCAGAGCAGAGGCTCTGGGCACAGCATCCTAAGACAGACAGTGACATCTGAGCCTCAGAACGGCGAGTGGACTGCAAGCATTCTATAGGACCACCAGGTGCTTAAACAGGATGTCTGACCACAGGGCTGAGATTCGGGGTCTCTGCAACTGTGAAAGAGGAATTTTATTAAGTGGTTTCGCAAGTTACTTGTTAAGATACTGTTGCTTTTTATGAATAAATTTGAACTTGTGGTTTATCAAAATGGCTCTTTAGAATAGAACTGTGCCAACAGTCAGGTGATCAGTCCCAGGAATCATCAGGGCTGCCCCCAGTGAGCTGAGCCGCTGCGAGAGTGAGCGCCCTGTTTCCGGCGGCGTGTAAGTGGACATTCAGCAGCCAGCTGGCCTGGACGTTGTAGTTCCGACTTAAGATCTGAAGGGATTGCGATAAGAATGAAAGATCCTATTCTGACCCGACACTCTGAACTCTGAAGGCTCGACACTGTTTTCTCTTTACAGTGGGTTTTCGTTAAGTAGCTGGCACCAAGCGGTAGCCGTGCGTGACGGAGTCACTAGGGACAGACACAGAGCCACAAAAATGAACGAGCGCAAAGCCCGATGCGTCTGCTCAGCGCTGGGAGCAGACGAACCCTAGGGATGTGGGCCCTGCGCATCCTTGGGCAGCGCGTACCGGCCGCACGCTGTGCACGGCAGGTCTAATTATGAGGCCCGGGTGAGATGTATGGATTCCGCTCCCCCGGCGCAGGGCCTGTCTGAAGGCTACCATCTGCCAGCGTTCATCCCAGGGAGACGGCCACCGTCTTCCACGGGCTGGGTTAGGTGCGCTGTGTTCCCTCCTGATGTAAACTGGTGGGCCAGCTGCTAATCTGAGACTGTGCTCTGGTGGATCTGGGTCAGGCACGGCAGGGCGATCCCTCACGTGACTGCAGTGAGCTGCGCCGGGGAGGATGCGGCAGGAAGGCACTGATGGAGTCTTCAACCGCCTGTGTGACCTCTGTCCCATGACTGGCCGGGGGCCTTCCCAGCTAATGACCTCTCGCTTTAAGTTGTCTGAAATCGATTCTCCTTAAATGAGATTTTCTCATTTTCTGTATTGGACTTTACTTTTGCTGGAGCGTGGGTTGATTAGAGTAAATTTTGTTAAATAGTGCTGTGGCTGCCTGCATCTTCATTAAGTCCATTTTACCTTGACTGACTGGAACAATTCTTTCATTCCCCACATATAGTGGAGTCAGCACAGGTTAACACATGTCTTTGTAACTGAGGAAAACCATGCAGTGCTTCAGCTTCTAAAATTCACCTTGCACTGCTACGGCTTACCAGTTTCCCCAGTGGAAACTGCCTTTGAATTTCAGTGTGAAAGATGCTTTCAAACACAAGAAGAGGCAGACGGACCCAGTGTGGCTGCAGGCCAGTTAGGAGGCCCCGGTTCCTGTGCTGAGGCCCCGCCAGGACCCCTCAGGCTCGGGATGCATCCTCCCTGGGGGGCAGCTCGCTTCCCTTCAATGAGTTATTTCACTTGAGGCAAGTCAGTCTTGGTCCAATTTATACAAGCAGACAGTGTTTCCGCATGAGTTACAAAGAATGAGCTTTCAGGGTTAGGGAGTATTCTATGTTATCAAGAGTTTGTCCTCAGCCACGGCCACAAGACTGCTGCCTGGGCTACCCGGTCCTTTCCAGCGATCAGGGTTCTCCTCGTGCCCGAGCTGGCCAGGAAGCAGATGCACACTAAGGTCTCCAGGAGAGCGCCTGCGGAGAGGGCAGCACTCTCCACAGGGAACTACGTTCTCAGCGTGGGCACTAACTCATTCTAAAACCGCCAGTGACTCTTCAGGTCCTATGACATAAAGTTACTTACTTTGCGACCACAAGTCTGCAAGTAGAAACAAGAGACACTTCACTAATTCCAAACTGATGCCCGTGAACAGTCATGGAGCTTCATAAAAGGGTTTCCACCACCGTCAGGCCACTGAGCTAGGCCCTTCTGAGGGAAATACATTTTTATCTTACACTGAGTTAAACTGAAACTCCTCTAAATCAAGGAACTCGTATGACTTTGAATCGGACATTTAAACGCTCAGGGCTGCTCTAAGTCTAAGTGTCAGCCAAGCAGCCAGAGACCAACATACCAGACACTTCCCCGTTTCAGGGTCACAGGCGTCACTGTGGTTGTTGCAACTGCAGGGCACACAGGGAGCAAGCAGAGGCCGGGGTCTCCTGCCATCACCTTCTGGAAGCTTCCCTCTGTGATAACCAGGCGCACAGTCCTGAGGGGATGCAGAATGGAAGGCGATGAATAAAAAACCTGATTAAAAATGGGCAAAGGACTTGAATAGACATTTTTCCAAAGAAGATACACAAATGACTAGACAAGCACATGCAAAGATGCTCGGTATCACTAATTATCAAGGAATGCGCGTCAGAACGCCACGGTGAGATACCAGCTCACACCCATGATGGCTACCATCAAAAAACAGCCCGCCCAGAGAATAACAAGTGCTGGTGAGGACAAGGGGAAGTCGGGACCCTGGCGCTTTGCTGTGGGGATGGAGAATGCTGTGGCTCCGGGGAGAGCAGCACGATGGCTCATCAGACAGTTCAAAACCGAGTTACCACGTGATCCAGCAACTCTGCTTCTGGGCACAAACCCCAAAGAACCGAAAGCAGGGTCTCGGAGAGAGATGTACACACCCGTGTTTGTAGCAGCATCATTCACGGTAGCCAAAGGCGAGAGCCACCCAGGTGTCCACTGATGGATAAACACAGCGCCGTCCACCCGGCCAGTGGAGTGCTACTGCGGAGGACATCCTGACACCTGCCACCACGTGGACGCACGGGGGGGACACGCTGCTGAGTGAAATGCCCCAGTCCCAAGACAAATACCGCACGACTCCACTTTCACGAGGGACCAAGAGTCGTCAGACCCGTACGGAAAGTACAAGGCGGTTGCCAGAGACTGGGGGAGGAGCAGAGGGTGGGCACAGAGGTTTAGTTTTACAAGATGAAGACCCCTGGAGACCGGCTGTTCAGCACTGTGGGAGCACTTAACCCTGCTAAACCACACACCTTAGACATGGTCAAGACGGCGAAGCTGACGGTTAGGCATACTTTACAAGTACCTTTTCAAAAGGGAAAGAGACGTAACAGATACACACAGTTCTGTCTGTCACCTGGAGCTGCTATAACAAGCCAACTTTAACCCCAAATCAGGAAGTGCATTTTAACCATAGTCTCCCTACCTGACATGAGAGTCCAGCCGTGCCAGGAGGACAGAGACACTTCTCCAAAAGGAATGCCACCGCCCTCCCTGGGGGCGACTCTTCTGCCTTTCTGCCGACCTCCATGGAGATGTTTGAGATTCTGTGGATCCATGTGTTAGCAAGTGAGAGAGGAAATACTAATATTAAACAAGACACTTTCAGAAATGGCACATTGAAGAATGCTATTTGCACATCTGGGAGACCAGAGCTTTCCCGCCAGTCTGAGAGTAGTTCCTACTCAAGATTATAAAGGAAATGGGTAAGAACCCAGGAGAAGCACATTCGTCATTACACAGGGGTGGTCCTCAGCCAGCACTTGAGAACTGAAAAATAGTGTTAGAGAAGGCACACCTAGAAGAGCCCGCGAAGTCCTAGCTTGGCCAGGGATGGGTGGCTTTCCTTCTGGGGTAAGAACTGAATGAGGAGGTAACAGCATTCGCGATGCCTTGTTCCAAAGAAGTGGGCAGTGCAGCTTATGGGCAGGAAACAGCAGAACGTCTTCGCTGTTTACACTCTATGCTCATCTAAGGTTATCACCACTATGTACTTACAGCCACGTCAATATGGGTGATGGACAATCTATGTCATTTTTTTTTACATATTTCAGAGTAATATTAACATTTAATAAGGTTTCAGTGAAGAACACAAATACATGTTATTAAAGGTAGAAGGCAGTGGGGGTGATGTGCATCAGACCTCTTCAGTCTGCTTTCAGATAAGGAAAATACTTTTAAAATTCTAGAATTTCCAAGTACCTGCTTTGCTGTAACCCTTGACCATAAGACGCTTTGATGAGGATGTACTCAACATTGCTAAGAACGGACATAAAATCCGAGCGTGTGACAGGTTCTTCAGAAACAGAGTTAAAGTATTTCCAAAAATCCTGTGGATGAAAAGTGCACACAATTAAATTCAGGGAACAGATCCTCAGCGGCATATGAACTTAATTCTTTCAGAAGTACCTCCAACAGGGAGCCCAGTTCTGCACACGACACTAAGTTCAATTGGGGCCTAATGTACACTTCTTGAGAAGACGGAATTTGGATCTGTTTAGAAATGTTGCTAAGCCCACTGGAATCTGGACCCCCACGGCCTTCAGGGGCACGCTGTCAGCACAGCAGCCCCCAGATCCGCCACGTCAGGGCAGGGTCCCCAGGCTGGAGGGCTCACGTGCAAGGAACGTGCGGTCACCTCTCTCATCTCTACTTCGTGCTCCTGCCGCACTCCGTTCTCCGGGGCGGGCGCGTCCACGTAGATGACCTGCT